ATAGGGTACACTTGAAAGTCAGTGTTTGGGGTGCTTACGTTCACTTTAAATGTGGCCAAGTGTATGTCCTTTCCCTAGACAAGAGCGTATGTGAAGTAACGCTGGTGTGGAGTTGTTAATTGTGTGATGGAGGCGTTGTGCTAGCCATTGCTCAGAATGACTTTCTTGGATAGTGCTTTTGTGCAGTGGATGGTATACAGTTGGCACAGCCCTGCTGGAGTCTGCTTGGAATGTGTTTGTGATTTGGATCTCTGACATAATAGGATTTTTCCTTAATTTGGATAAGAAATTTTGCTGACCCCAAAGTAGAGAGACCAAATGTTACAACTATTTCAGGTACCTTGTCCTCTGACTAATTTACAAAAATGTATCAGAGGGTTTCGATGAAAGGCATTGGATACTTTTTCGTTGGCATTCAGAGGTCATATTAAATAACCCTCCCCCCCCGGCCCCCAGCTAACACTACTAAAAGTATGATTTTTTTTTGGCCTTTGCAGATACATCATTATTCCGTCACATCAGGAGGACAGCAATCAAAAGTATTCTCGCCAGGCTGCATTGGGAACTGGAGGAACAGGTAATGCTGATTGACTGATCCACTTTTGCCAAGTGGCGTGTAATGTGAGATTAATTGACGGAGCTTGGCAAGTATGCGTGCAATTACAGCAAAGAATTTAGATCAGTTCTTGCAGACAGTTTTTCCTGACGGTCAAGTTAGAGTTAGATCTCTTTAAACATTATATTGCATCTCTTGCAGGATTTATGACATTTTTGAAAAATTTGAGAACCTCCGTCATGAGTGCCTTCTACAGAATCGACGAGGGAACGGAGATTAACTGAGAAGTATCTGCCCTTCTGGTTCCTGCATTCCCCAAACGACGTTAACCACTTCGTGCCGGGGTACTCGGTTTCGGGGACATAGGCTTTTACACGAAGCCGGGGAGCCCGAAGCCAGACAAAAGAGCTTTGCCTTGTAACAATAGACTCAGAACAAAAGACTGATGAGCTGCTGGGAGTTGCCAACATTTTGTCTGTTGTCAAAAGTGGAGGAAATCTGTCATTATTTTGAAAGATTATACCACTGTTTGTGGCATTCAGTACGAGTGGATTGCAACCAGGGACTAAAGCACTCCAGCGCTCCAGTGATAAGCGATACATCGCCACTGCACACTAATCTGGCCCCTTTTGAAAAGACGCCAGCAGTGCACTGTGCTGGTTTCGGGAACAAAAGAAGCTTACATAACACTGCACAATCTGGGATCTTTTTACAAGGCGGCAGGCCTGGCTGAAATACGCCGGCGTTAGTGAATGTTGTCTGTCAGCTTAGAGTCGCCACCAGAGAGTCGTTTGTGTGGGTGTAAACGTCCAGTAAATGAAGTTATGAATTTTTAAAGAGTTTTGAAAACAAAAAATACAAAAAATTACCCGGCCCAGCAGAATCAGCATTGAAAAAGGGGCCCGACACGAAGTGGTTAACAAACAGGTCCAGTGGTATCTGATTTTAAGGAAGTACTAACACCCAGTCTGCAGCCGATTTAATGAAACTTGGTGTAACTTTGAACCATGCATAAGCACCACAAATTTGTGCCGTAGTTGTGCAATGCATTTAGTTATACGTTTTATTTCTTGTTACGCTCCCACAAACTGTTCCCCTTTATGCATATAGATTAAAGTGTACACGCTAGTACACACACCACTTACCCCACACGGAGCGCACAATAACCATCTACACGCAGATTACACGCATTGCATTCCACGCGCGACCCCGTTGCTCTATGCCCTTGAACTTTAACTCCGAAGCACACTTCCAACTAAGTCATTTTCCCCCAAATCTTCCTCGGAGTCGATCCTACTGTCAGTCGCACATGTAACCTGTACATTCGACCCACACAGACCCCCAACTCATACCGTCCGTGTCCCGCCAACCCACACACCGAAAGCCTGTGTCCAGTCACGGCACAGCGAGGTCAATTACCTCCGCTCACCCTCAGTTTTACCCTGTAAGAATTATGTGTAGATTTCCTAGCCATCCAGAGACTAAGTGTTGTACACAACCCAATGTACCTAGAAAGGCTCACCCTTTCCTTTCCCTCGTTGACCAAGTTCCCCGTAGCTTACGCACGAACAGCCTTTCACCCTCCCGCTCCCAAACTTCTCAAGCAAGCAAGCAAGCGCAGTTTACGGTAATGATTGGGCTCAGGCTCACCACGTTGCACGTGCCTGCCACGGCGCCTGCGCCTGTGCATTAATGTGCATTGCGCATGCGCATCGCTTGCTCAAATGGTGCCCATGCGATTACAACGTTTTGTGTGTTTTCACAGTGAAGTTCGCCACCTTGCGCAGCTTCGCGGCGCTATATGATCTTTGATCAGTACTGAAACCAGAAAACAATTCCAAAAGGCAAAACAGATTCGCATTCCCACCCTTCAGTTGTACTAAAAATATATGACTCTTGCATATGTCAGTACATTAGATTTGTGCCCATTTAGTTGAAAATGTACTATTTGTTGTGACTTGGCATGATACTTGGAGAAGTGTACAAGTGTGCAGCTTTGCCAGTTCAATCCAGTTTATAATCATATTTTGTTTTTTTAAATGTACCAAAAACAATTTTTGTGCTTTCAGTGAATTATTGTGCATTTATAGTGAACAATTTTAGCTCAAACCAGCAAAAATATCTTCCAAGTCGGAAGTAGAAATGATTTTTGGAATGTTGAGGGAGGTTTTTTTTGGGGAGGTGGGCTAATACTCTTTATGATACTAAAGTAAATTGTTACTTGGAGGGCCTGATTTTCATAGAATCATTGCAATGTTTAAAATGTGGAATCTTTTGTACAAGAAAAATCTACATATACAATATGCAATACGCTTAGTTGGTGTGTGCTTATCATGCTTGTGAGGTTGATTTACATTGTTTTTACCTAAAATGTTTGCATTATTTGGTACTTTATGCTCAATTTTTTATCAGTACTTTGTGAACTTTGGTAATTTATCAAACTCGTGCACATTTTCCTAATTGATATATATTTATATATATATGCAGTGGTAATATTTTGTATGCAGCCTTTTCTACCCCTCCACATTTTTGTTAGAATTGTGATGTTAGAATTTAGTTGTGTGATGAAGTGTGATGATTTTAAAGTATATTGGGAAATTTGGGAATTTTAGTGAGTCTGATTACAATTATGTTGACAAAAGCATTTTATCTTGGCAGCTGATTTATTTCAGTTTCAGGAATATCTTGTGCGTGACTGTACAGCATCAGAAATAAATAGGTTGGCCTTATGGATCTGATTTGTGGCGCTAGTTTTGTGCTTCTTGTACTTATTCCTTTTCATACAGTGTCACTGTTGAACCGAGGCCTGTGGCTAGGGGATCCCACCTACCCACCCAGGTTTTTTTTCTCCTACTAGTACACCTCCATCCGCACTCGGATCAGTGCACCTTGATTACATGTTTTTGGTCACAGAACACCAACCAGGGCAGAATATCAGTTTTCCTTTTTTTCTTTCTCTAATTTCTTGGAGAGGGGACAAGTCTCAAGTGAGGGGACCCATGGCATCCTGTGCTCCCCACACCACTGCATCACGCATGAGCTTGGAAACCTGTTTTGATCAAGGAGTAAAACTTGTTGCGGGATACAACCCTTATATTGAAACCAAGACGTTTAACTTTAAATTATTGGATATTGAAATTTCTTAGAATCTAAGTTCTCGTGCATGTTAAACTCTTTCAATATATGAAAACTGTTTTAAACTTTGTTGAGGTTGAGTGAACTGTTACGTGCACTTTTTAATCATTCAAAATTGGCCAAGCTTTCCCAGACAAGTGAGGGCGCTATTAGCGTGTTGTAAATCCATATTTTCATGTTGAAATTTTGAATCCCAAATTTGCTCTTTAACAACAATCTGAGATAGGGTTTTCCGCCATGCCTTCATGCCTCGTGGAAGCTTCATTCAGAAATGTCGGACGGTACTACTGATCTCCATTATCAATGGACTTTACTTCCCAGGATTATGAGTTCCCAGCTGGACCAAGAGAGGGCTCAATTTTCCTAGCAACGGAAGCTCCTTGGGCGCGGGCAGAACCAGCGCTGTGAAGCGGCGCTATACGAGCTTTGGTCAGAACTAGAATAGCACTTCGTTGATTCACAAACGACAAGGGCTGAATTCGGGTGGCTTGTTCCCGTATGTTCACGAGCAGCTCGATTTGTTGTTCGTGGGTCGGCCGCTCGACCTCCGGGAACAAATAACCGGTTATCACAAGCAACGTGCAACATGGCGGCCACGTACGTTGTTCGAGAGTTAAGGTTTGGATGGGCTGAATTCTTTTCTATATAAACAGGAACATTCATTTCTGTGTTTCGGAAAATAATTAATGTTAATTTTGCAAAACTTCTCTTTGTCTATGTGGTCTATGGCTTTGGAAGCCATCTCTCTACTTCTTGCAGCTGTTCAAAAAT